CCGAGCGCTGGCATCACCATGTGGTTTTCGCAGGCAGCAGGCAGGGCCCCCCAAAGCCTACGTCTCTTTTTGGGCGGGCTCGTCCCGACGTCTTCGGCTGCAGGGGCCGGTCCTAGTGTTCTGTTGGACAGCAAATTCGGATACGCACCATAGGGTTCGTTTTCCGTTCCTTCTCCTCATCGTCTTCCTTCGCTGGTGTGGTATGTTTGGGCGACACGTTGGCTGACGATTCTTCTCTTCTCGTCTCCCCCCCCCCTCCCGGCCGGCCGTTTCAATTTTGTTTGGTGGGCACACGTTTCTCACCTCTCCTCCTCCTCCTCCTCCTCCTCCTCCTCCTCCTCCTCCTCTCCCTCCTCGTCGTCTTCCTCCTCCTTTCTCCTCCTCCTCCTCTCCTTCCCTTCCCCCTCCTCCTCCTTTTCTTCTCCTCCTCCTCTTCCTCCTCTCCTCCTCCCTCCTCCTCCTCCTCCTCCTCTGCTCCTCCTCCTCCTCCTCCTCCTCCTCCTCTCCTCCTCCTCCTCTTCCCTCTTTCTTTCTCCTTCTCCCTCCATCGCTCGTTACCTCTCTCGCTCTCTCCCTTCCTCCCTCCCTCCCTCCCTCCCTTCCTCCCTCCCTATCCTTCTCCTCCTCCTCCTGCTCCGTCTTCGTCTTCTTCTTCTTCTTCTTCTTCTTCTTCTTATTCTTCTTCTTCTTCTTCTCCTCCTCCTCCTCCTCCTCCTTCATCCCCCTCTCTGCCCCCCTTCCCTGGGTGTTGCCAGTGGTTGCCCTGGCCCAGGGTGGAGTGGACGCCATCACTAGTGTGACTTTCGCGAAGCAACCGAACTCTCATAGCACACTCTCGGACGCCAGGCCTGCGCCTCGGGGCTTTTTCGGGCACACCCCGCAGGGCCCACGTGGTCCCAGGGGGCCCCCAGGGTGGCGCGAGGAGCCGGGGGCACCCTGGGCCGGGGGGCACGCTGTGGCCCCCCCCTCCACCCCCGGGCCTGCCGTCGAGGTGCCTCCGCAGGGCGACCCCACCACACCAAGGGTGCCCTCGTGTCCAGTGCTTCGCGGCCCCTGCCTGCGTAGGTTCCTGTGGCACTGTGGCCCTCGGAAGGGTCTCGTGTGTTGGGCAAACTGTCCACCACTGCCACCATATGTGGGACGGGGGAGAAGGGAGGATGAGGAGGTCCTCCTCCTCCTCCTCCGCCTCCTCCTCCTCCTCCTCCTCGTCCTCCTCCTCCTCCTCCCTCTCCTCCTCCTCTTCCCTCTCCTTCTCCTCCTCCTCCTCCTCCTCCTCCTCCTCCTCCTCCTCCTCGTCCTCCTCCTCCTCCTCCCTCTCCTACCTATGGTAGTGGTGGTGGAGAATGGGCTCATCTTCGTGTCCTCTTCAATCAGCCCTGGCTCTACCTCCCTTCCCTCCAGGGGCCCCGGTGCCCCTCGGCCCCGCCCCCGCCGGGGGGCGGCGCAGCGCCCGCGGCGCCCGCTGCGGCGGCGCCGTCGCGGAACCGCGGCGTTCGCTGGGCGCGGCCGTCATCGTCGTCGTCGTCGTCGTCGTCGTCGTCGTCGTCGTCGTCGTCGTCAGGATCTTGATCGTCGTCGTCTTTGTCCTCGTCCTCGTCGTCGTCGTTGTCGTCGTCATTGTGGTCGTCGTCATCGTGGTGTTCGTCGTCGTGGTGGTGGTGACGGTGGTCGTCGTCGTCGTGGTCGTCGTCGTCGCGGCCGTCGTCGTCGCCGTCGTGGTTGTTGTCGTGGTGATCGCGGTCGTCGTGGTGGTGGACGTGGTCGTCGTGGTCGTGGTCGTGGTCGCGGTGGTGGTGGTAGTCATGGTTGTCGTGGTCGTGGCGGTCGTGGTCGTTGCCGTGGTCGCTTTCGTTTGAGTCGTCTTGCATGTGGCCCCGCGTCGCCGCCGCCGCAGTCGCCGCGAGTTCACGAGTAATAGGCTGCCGTCGTAGAACCTACTCCTGGAGCCACCTGCGCGTCGAATGGCACCTCGTGTGAAATCGTGCCTGTCCTCACTTGCATGCGTGCCCATCGGTCGTTGAAAGTAGATTCTTCTGTATTCCCGGATTCCAATCTACTTTAAGCGCCTTCCTTTTTCAGTGATCGAGTAGCTTCACCTTTTCCGTCCTCTTGAGGGGGCAGGCGGACACCCAATCTAGTTTCAACGCCTTCCTACTTCTTGGTTCTACCTACCTCTTCTGACCGTCGGGTATGCGTATATCTATATATATATATATATATACATACAAGACTGCATTGGCGCTTCGCGCCATGCGCCTTGTTCCGGTCGCGACGACGGCGACGGCGGTGGTGGCGACGACCACGAATGCGACCACGATCACGAGTACCACCACCAGCACCAGCACCACCACCACCACAACCACCACCACGACGACGACGACGACGAGGACGACGACGACGCCGACGACAACGGCGACGACGACGACGACGACGATGAGGATCGCGTCTGAACTGCAGATGGGGCGCTCGTCTCTCGAGGTCCTCTGGAAGCTCCCAACGGGACCAAACTCGCTCAGAAACTTGGCCCCTCCTCGTCGTCGTCGTCCTCCTCCTCCTCCTGCTCCTCCTGCTCCTCATTCGGGCAGGCCGCTGGAGCGAGCGCTCGGGGTGTCAGTAAGCAGGCTACGCATCAATGAGGCGGCAGCCCGCGATGAGAGGCCGAGACCTCCTGCTCCTCCGTAGGACGACGACGACGTTGACGACGGCGGGGACGACGATTGGTCGCTTCCTGAATGCCTGGAGGGGTCCTGGACGCTTGTGGGGCTTCTGAGGTCCTTTCGAACCACCGTCCTGCGAACTACGGCATCGGGGAGTGTAAGAGAACTGCTGGAAGCTATATTGGAACGGTGTGGGCTCGCGTTTGAGCTCCTGGTGACTCTCTGGCCCAGAGGACTTCTTTTGGGGCTGTTTTGGACCGTCTTGGAGCCCTCTTGGGCCGTCCCGGAACCCTGTGTTGGCCGTTTTGGGAGGCCGGGCTGGCCAGGGGCTTTTCGGGGGCCCTCTTGGGACACTCTCGGGGGCCTCCTGTGGCTCTCTTGGGACTCTCTTGGCAGTTCTCGGGGCTCTCTGGGGCCCCTCCTGGGCCGCCTTGGACTTCTCTTGATCCGTCTTGGAGCTCTTGTGGGCCGCCTTGGGCCGCTCATAGAGGCCTCGGAGGCCGTCCTGGGGCGATCTGGAGAGTGTCTGGGGATGCCGTGGACGCTGGGAAAGCGGAAAAAGCTAATATCTTCAAGAGCGTACGTTTCCTCAGGGAGTGGGACGAATTTTGGCTCTTGGGGGTCCCTTTGGGGGCCTCTTGGACCGTCTTGGGGGCCTCGTGGACCGTCTTGAAACCATACTGGGTCCTCTTTGAGGGCTGATGGGCCGTCGTGGGGCCCGTTTTGGGCCCGTGGGCTCCGATCGGCAGGGGCGTCCATCTGCTGGGAAGGCCGCTGGGACTCCGAAAGAGCGTCCAGGGCGTTCGTTGGGTGGAGGGCAGGGGGGTCTGGGGTGTCCCGGGAGGGGGTGGTCCGGTTTAGGGTGTGGGTGTGGGGGGGTTCCGGGTAATAGCAATATAATAATAGGGATATATGTATATATATATATATATATATATAAACATATATCACATGTCGTGCTCGGTGTTGCAACTCATCTCAGATGCTTTGGGCGGCCAGCCGAGGCTGAAGAAGAAGTCGTGGTCGCCGCCGCCGCTGCTGCAGCCGTCGTTGTCGTCGTCGCCGCGGCCGTGATTGCTTACGCCGCCTCCGTCGCGGTCGTGGCCATGGTCTTGTCGTTGTCGTCGTCGTCGCGGTCGTCGTTGTCGTGGTAGTCGTGGTCGTGGTAGTTGTGGTGGTCATCGTCGTGGTCGTCGTGGTCTTTAGTTGTTGTGGACGCCGGTGCCTTCGCCGACGTCGTCGTCGCCGCCATCGTGGTGGTGGTCGTCGTGGCCGTGGCCGTGGCCGTGGTCGGCGATGTCGTCGCCGTAAACGCCGCTGGCACCGCCGCCGTCGTGGTCGTGGTCGTGGTCGCGGTCGCGGTCGTGGTCGTCGTCGCCGTCGTCATCGTCGTCGTCGTCGCCGACGACGTCGTCGTCGTCGCCGACGTCGTCGTCGTCGTCGTCGTCGTCGTCGTCGTCGTCGTCGTCCTTATCTTACTCTTGGTGTGGACGTGCTGGAGAAGCGGGAGGGAGGAGGAGAGCAGGACGAGGAGGAGGAGGAGGAGGAGGAGGAGGAAAAGTAAACGAGCGTAGGGGAGGAGATGAGGAGATGAAGTTGAGCGGGTGTGTGATGGAGGCCTCATTGTGCACCCTCCCTGGAGCAGTTATCCGCCGCGCCCCCGGCGTCGGCCGGGGGGTGGGCAGTCGAGGGTTCCACGCCATGCCGGACATACCCGCAGCTTCAAGGCTCCAGGAGGAGGGAGAGAATCGGGCCGAACGAAAGGGGGGGATAGGGAAAGGGGGGGCTACGAAATCTGCTGCGTGCAGCTGGTTTCAGCCCCGCCGCCGGGCCCATTCCTCGATACATGGGCGCCTCCCGGCGCCGGGAGGCGCAGGGGAAATCAGCTGCGCGAGCTGATTCTCACCACCCCCTTTGCTATCCCCCCCTTTCGCCCGGCCTGAGAGAAGGAGCTGCCTTTCTCCAGGACCGCGCGCGTCGGCCGCACTGGTTTGCCTACTCCGCGGCGGTGCTGTGCAGGCGGCTGCCGAGCAGACGCGAGAAGGGGGTGATGACCTCCTCCGCCTCCTCCTTCCTCTCCTCCCCTCTCCTCCTCCTCCTCCTCCTCCTCCTCCACTCTCCTGCTCCCTCCTCCTCCTCCTCTCCTCCTCCTCCTCCTCCTCCTCCTCCTCCTCCTCCTCCTCCTCATTTCCGCTCCTCCTCCATTCTCTACCTCCCTCCTTCCTCCTCCTCCTCCTCCTCCTCCTCCGCCTCCTCCTCCTCCTCCTCCTCCTCCTGCTCCTGCTGCTCACCCTCCTGTTTCTCCTCCGCCTCTTCCCTCCTTGTCCTCGCCCCCCCTCGGCCCTCGAGCCCAGAGCCGCCGCCGGTGCCGCGAACAGCGCAGCCACCCCCGCCGCCATGTCCTTCAGCAGCCTCTTCGACTCGCCGCACCCGTTGGCGCCCCCGATCCTCCGCGCTCTCGCGTTCGCGAGAGGGAGGGAGGGGGGGTAACGAGGTCATTCGTTTGACATCAGCTGTGGCGCAGCAAACATACCCAAGGAGGTGGGCGAGACCTCCAATGGGAAATTTGAGAGACACTCGAACTCACACCCGACGAAACAAAGGTATGAGAAGCGTCAGATGGAAGGGAAAGTACCCTGAGCGCTGCCCGGAGCGCGGGAGCCTCCTGCCACACGACGAGCCTAGACCCCCGTGGCACGGAGGTGGCTCGATACTGGCAACGAGGGGAAGGAGGTGGTGGAGGAGGAAGGAGGAGGAGGAGGAGGAGGAGGAGGAGGAGGAGGAGGAGGAGGAGGAGGAGGAGGAGGAGGAGGAGGAGGAGGAGGAGGAGGAGGAGGAGGAGGATGTGACGCCACTCGTAGCTCTGGGTAAGGGTGACGGTGAGCACGCGCGCGTGGGAGAGAGGGAGACAGAAAGAGAGAGAGAGAAAGAGAGAGAGAGAGAGAGTAGAAAAAAAGATCGGGGGTTTGTGCAGGGAGGGTTGTCTCAAGGGTGGGGTCAGGGACTCGGCCGGACGCTCACAGCTCCTCCTTCCCAGGAGCCGTTTGGAGCGATGCTCCTCCAACCCCACCTAGGCCCCTACGTACCCCATCTTTCATGTCCTTCTGACTATGCGCTGAAGATCTTTTGCCGAGCGTGTCGCGCCGCCAGTTCTGGCCCACCACGCCTCGGCGCGCCACACGAACCATTTCCCGGTCCCTGAGCGTCAGCGTCCCGAGCCTTTCTCGGCTCCCCGCCGGGCGGAGCACAGCGATACGCCATCCGCTGGCAGGGCACGGCGTGTTGCCGGGCTGCCACCGCGACACGCTCAGCAAAAGTCGGGGGCCCCCAAACGGGGTGGTGACCACACCGTGTGGTGAGTCGGTGGGGATTAGGGGTCGCCGCACGGTATTGGGACCTTGGACGCCCCAATGCGGTGAGGCCTTGGGGGATTTCGAGGTCACCGCACGGTCTGTACTCCAAAAAGTGGACGACGTCGACGGGGGGGAAGTGATCAACGGAGGAGGAGGAGGAGGAGGAGGAGGAGGAGGAGGAGGAGGAGGAGGAGGAGGTTCAGGAGGAGAGATAGGGAAGCGAGGCGGAGGAGGAGGGGGAAAACTTTCGCATGGTTTGATGATGAAGGCTACGGGTTGGCCGACCCGAACCTGACCCGAAATCTTGGGCTCCGGCCACGATCTATGATTGCTGCAGCCTCCTGTGGCAGTTTGAGGCCAGTATGCCTCCGAAGCTCTGGCCTTGGCAAGCTCCTCTCCTCGCGAGCTGGGCCAGAGGAATAGCAGGAAATCTGAGCACGATGGGAGGGCTCTTAGTACTCCTGGGTGACCTCCTCTCCTGGGCCCGAGCTAACTGTGTGGGGGCTCCTTGGTGGTGAGGTCTCTTCTTGCACTGGGTTGACAGCTCTCTGCTGTCACACTCCGCATCGGATCCGCTCCTGTTGCATACCAGCAAATTCGAGGGCTGCTCAAAGAGCTCATACCTGATATGGCATGACCTTTCGGATCCTGGAACAGGTCCGAAACATGCTTACAATGACCAGGACAGTGGGACGCATAGAATTGCTCAAGCTTCCTCTGTGTGCTGGTCTGACGGCAACGCGAACATGTCCAGCGTCCCTTGAGTAAAGGAATCGCATGCTGTCTGTGGGGCTTCTCAGGGGCCTCAGGAGGATGGGGAGGAGGAGACAGAGGAGGAGGAGGAGGAGGGCGAGGAAGAGGAGGATGAGGAGGAGGCGGAGGAGGAGGAGGAGGAGGAAGAGGA